CAGTTCATGGACTGCTTGGTTCCAGTGAGACTTCATATTTCTCTCTAATGCTTGAAAGATGATTGGTAAAATAGCATGTCGTTTCAGTTCAATCAGTTCTACTATATGCTCATTTGCCCATAACAATAAAGCCCCCTCTTAAAAAATTGTAGTTCTGAGCTACGGTTAAAACATACATCTAGACCATACACTAGATGTATGGTCTAACTGAGAAAAGTGGTAGATGTACTTCCCTTTTTAATATATTTTTATTGAAACTTTGAGTTTTAGTGAAAAATATAAATCATTTCGGAAATTTGAAGCCCTTATTAGGTTTTAAGTTTGAGAGCATTAACATATGGTTGACGTTTTTTGTTGAATTAGTTTGGCGTGTACATATATGTTTTTTATTTAGAGTTTGTGTCATTATTTCACTGGACAAGCAGATTTATTGATGTCAACCAAGGACAAAATAAGGAAGGAAGGTTCTCTATGTGGTGTTTGAATATATGGATATGGACCAGAAGAAATTTTCCATACCTTCCGTCAGACTGGAGAAAACACCCCCTCAAACTGTTAAGGTTGGTACATCTATCATGATTTAGCTTAGCTCATTGTTGATAAAGTTGTTGACCAATCAGATGAAGCCATTGAATCAATTAAGTCTTTTTGCTATCCTTACCCTCCAGGATCCCAATAATCATTTGCCAATGGCTTGGTAGAACTCTACAAGGTAATAAGAAAAAATAACACCCTTTCTGGAAATTCCATTTCTATTCTCTCACCCTTTGGTGGATAACAGTATAACACCATTCAGATGATAAATTTCAAGGTAATTAGATTAATTTCAGGTTACAAACAATTATTTTTATTATGAAAGTGTTAAAATATTTATACTTAACCTTTATAAGCAAAAATGATATAGGATAAATACACCCCGTACTTAGATTTACATCAATATTTCATCATTTGCTTCTTCTTGAAAATAAGTTTTCCAATTCAAGTGGCTCTCCTTATTGATTTGTTATTTTAGAATAAATAACACCATAATAGGAATAAATTTGAGAGAAAACTAAAAGGTAATAAGAATAAATAACACCCTTTGGTGGATGATAAAATCTTTCCTTTGGGTGAATCAGTTGGCACTTGGCAGTATTTTTAAATCTTTTTCTATTTTTTATAAGTATATGTGGTATTCATTTTAAAAGATCGGGGATAATTGAAGATGAAATAGGACTGCTTGATCTTAAACTTAAGAAGGTTGTGGAGGGAATGAATTCTGGTGGGAAGAAGACCAAGAATGACAGATCTCAAGACAAATGGGTTGGACACACTTGACAAGGAGCACTCTAGGTATTTGATTATATATGTTTCCAGAATTAAGTTATGATAATGATGATACCTATTAATAATCTTAGGTATGTATATATGTGTTTCTGTGGTGATATAGTAAATTAGCATTAACTCACATACAACTGAAGAACATCAAATCTGTCGTAGAGAATTACAAGTATGGTTATATTTACGTTCAGATGAATGATATGTATTTATAAAGCTCCTCCCTTTGAGTCATGTAAACCATATTATGCAACCAAATTTTAATCTATATTTTTCATTTCAGGTTTACTCATAGTTATTTTTTATAATGAAAGTGGTACAATATTTACACTAAACCTAAATGAGTAAGTGAAAAATATATAGGATAAATACACCCCGTAGTTAGAATTACATTAGTATGTCCTCATCCACTTCTTCTTAAAGACAAGTTTTTCAATTCAAGTATGCTTCTGTTTTTATAGTTAAACTTTTCTGTAGTTAGGTTTTCTGTCGTCACCTTAGAGGAAAATGTATGAAGTTTCGTATCTGATTATGTTGATGTTGTTTCAAATGTTTATTTTCTTTATACTTTTTTTTTGGATAAACTGTAAATATATATATCCAAAGTGTATATGTACATCTGTACAGCAGCAAAACAGATCATATGGGTCATCCCAAGCAAGGGTTGAATCACTTTATTTTCTTTATATGTAATCACTTGAGATGGACTATTTATTCTTTTTTTGCAGTTTAATTACAAGTATAGGGTTGAACTTTGTTTAGGCTTTGAGTCAGCCTCTATCTTTCTTTATATCAGACATAAATTTTCACTATTAATTTCACTTTATCACTTTGAACTGAATGGCATAAACTCACTATTAATTTTTCCATTTACGATGGAGCCAAAGACTCACTATTTTTTGGCTTGAGGATATGATGGAATAAAGCAAAATGACTCATTAAACTGTCTGCGCGCTTCTTTGTTATGAAGCAGCAGTAAGTCCATGTAATTATCGACGCGATTTTCACTATGGGTCATCCGAAAACAGTCTCTTTGTACTTAAGTACAAGGGTAAGACTGCATACATCCAACCCCCCTTACCCCACCGTAGGTGGGAGCCTTTGCTTCACCGGGGGTCTGGGGTGATGATGATGATGATGATGATGACTTTGAACTGAATGGCATAGAGGAACTACAGTTAAGTGAGGAACTATAGTAAAGTGATAGTACTAAGTATTCAAAAATAAACTAACATTGACAAGTAGAAATAAAACACGAAGATCTCATTTCGGCACCTGATAATAACCGAAGGAACAGTTTTTAAAACTGATAGGTTTGGTGTCGACCAACTCCAAGTTCTATTGGATTTGACAGTCATGGTGCACTTTGGAAGTTTTGGAGAAAACGCAGTAGTTTTGGTGGTTACTTTTCAGCTATTGCTAATGCATAAATGTAGTTGAAGAATATGTGTGTGATGGGCTATCTCAATACTTTTCTATTTGTAGGCTATTGCCTTTGAATGTGAGATGTTGCATTGCGCAAACCAAGTATGACAGATGTCATTGTCAGATAAAATAATAGTAAGATTTAGTGGTCAATGAGATATGAGCAACTTTTTTTCAAATGTTTGTTCAATAAGTATAACAATATTTTAGAGTCTCTTGCTTTATATTCATAATAATACATTGTTAGTATATATATAATTAGGTACATCTACACATATTTTTCTAAGGTATAGTTAAGGTTTCCTCCACTGCGGCCCATGCAGTATTAGGTACATTATCTACACATACTTTTCTAGGATATTATTTTAAAAAGCTTAAGCTATAGACATAATTTGAATATTTGGTACATTCTTGCCAAGTTGAGCGATATATGATTCACAGTTTGATTGTTGCTGAGAATAAAGAATCACAAAATGCAATTAATTCATTTACTTATTCATTTAGTTTTTTTGTGTTTTTACTTATTCATTCCTTCAATCTCATAAACATATGGTGAATTACTTATGTGTACAATGTACATCATAGGGTCACTAAGGAGCTTTTTAAAGAAGCGGAAGCTAGAACGGTGGAAGAATAGATGCCTGTTATTTGGTACGCTTTTGCCATGTTATGCTATTTCTACGTGCATGGTATGAAATGGCTTGATGAGTAATAGCTTCACGTTTAGGTTTACTCAATGATGGTTTTTATATGGGTCTTCAAAGTTATAATAGAAGGATACTATATGACTGCATATTGGACATCCTATGCAGCATTAGTACTTAAACTTTTTGCAGCTTTTTCAGTTTTTAATCTTCTTAATGCTTCTATGTATGGGTTACAGTGATGTTGTTGACACTGAAACCAATGAGTTGGTTGGTATGGCACCTGATGATCTTCCGGTAGATCCACAACATTCATCTGGATACCAATCTGCTTGGGTAAGTCTTCCAGGAAAAATGTTAATGTTGGATATTGTTTAAGATGCGTAAGCTATAAAGCGCCACATGTTCCAAGTAGTGAATCACGACAACCAGTCAATGTCAGTCAACATCTGCTCCAAGGTCTTCATCTGGGGCTCAATGTGATGACTGGCCTCTAACTGAGCAGACAACACCTGCTGCTAGAAGTTATTCTATCTATGATCCTCTTACTTCACAGCTGCATCTGGATTTATCTGATAGAGAGAACAGAAGAAACCGATATCACCCACAATTACATTAGGTTCCGAAAGAAGACAATGGCATTGATGGTGACAATCCCGTGGTACCCGACTTTCTTCATAATAGGAAGTTGCTGGAGGTGCAAACAACGAATTCTAAAATATGGAAACTTGTGAATCATATGCCGTTTTCCTTTAGATTTTCAAAGGTAAAGTTAAGCATAATAAAATAACTTCATGCCATTCAACATTTCTCCCTTTCTATAGAATTTTCTGTGATTCAAATGTATCCTTATATTTTATAAAATGGGAAGGCATTGTCGTGATGTTCTAACATCATATTTTTACATGATACTTATGTTTCATAGTTGCTGCCAACATCCAACAACTCATTGTGGAGGAGGCAGAAAAGCAAGGTATGTCATCTTAAAGGGACGGACCTTCTGTAGTCATTCCACAGCAACTACAAGTTCATGCTGCAAGCTTCCTGCAACTTAGCTTTGGCAGCTTTACATATGCAATTAGTGACACCAATTCTGAGGATTTGTTACATGCTTCTAATGTAGAGGCACGTGTGGAAGGCACACCCATAGATTCAGATGCTCCACCACACTACAAGAAAAAACGTTTTTTGCGTCGACAAATTGTTGACGCAAAAGAGAAAAAGTCGACGCAAATGCGTTTTTTGCGTCCACATGTCGACGCAAAAGGGTTGACGCAAAAGGCGCGACGCAAATAATGTTTTTGCGTCGACATTGTCTGACACAATTAATAAAATCTTATTTGCGTCGACATATGGACGGAAAAGATCTTCCGGAAGTAATCATGCATAATGTCGACGCAAAAAGTGAACATTTATTTGCGTCAACACGTCGACGCAAATAATGGCATTATTTGCGTCCACATGTCGACGCCAAAGCCTATCGGTCATTTTTTTTTAAAATACATTATTTGCGTCGACATTGTGACGCAAATAACACTGTACATGTATGAAATTACACCACATTACCTATTGCTATTCATACAAAACTTTTATTAATAAACCAATGTTACCAAAATCTATCCAAACACAACCAATGTCAACAACACATAAATTCATTCAATATTCATAGTAAAAGTGAGTTATCCTACAACGAAGTTTCATTAAATCATTACAAACATCACAAAATGTAAACATAAATAAATTCATGTTCATCTTAACTATGTAAAAAGCATATTCAACTCGATATTATCAATCTTGATCATCTTCATCGAGACTCTGATCGGGTTGGTTAGCACTTGATGTCGAAGGAACATCATTTGCGGAGCTGCTTGAAGGAAGTTGAAAGCCAGGAATAAATTGTTGTAGGGCACGAAGCATCAACTCCTGATTTGCTTGCATCAACTCTTGATTTGCCTTCAATTCACTTATTTGAACATCCCGGTGGTCTTGGAACGTTGAAGTAGCGCCATCATCCACTCTTCGAGATGCACCCTTTGATAGGGTAGGACCCACTCCGCTTTGGCGTCCGCGATATCTTCTCAAGTTCCGGTGCATAATATCAATCTCATTTATTGAAGACGATGACCCTGTTTGTCCTAGCTGTGTTTGGTACTCTTCACTCATTTGAGTCTATCAAATTACAATTCATAAAGTTACATATCATTATGATTACAATTAATAAAATATTTTTAATATACTTACATATTTTTCATGTGCTTCTTTTGTTCTCCATTCGCCACTACGAGTCAAACGTTGATCTTTCCAATTTTCAAGAGCTGAGTACTGCTCACCAGTTTCTGGATCATCCTGTTTAATATTCATTACAATTGTCAACATCTAAAATAATATGAATGATCAATAACTAACATCAACATTAAATTAGTAGCTTGAAATTTTAACATTGGTCGATCAGTAATCACTACCACAACAATAAGGATTGTACTACTAAATATAATCTTTGAAAAACCTGCAAACCTAAAGCAGAAATATACGATTAAGTGATATACATACTGCTTATTAAAATATATACGAGAGGTAAACTATATATTAACCAAGGCCTTAGGGACACCCCGAAACAAAATTGTACCACAAAAAAAACACAATAAATCATACACAAAATCTGCACCATACCTAAAAAACGACACCCAATTAAACTACAATATAACCTAAAAACTGCCAAGGAAATTACAACATACATTCATATGTCATCAAACACTAATAACAAATATATGTAATCACCCAATCACTGCCAGATATCACAACTCAAAACGAAATAACAAAGACTCATTTCTTACTTTTTCGTGCATGTATTGGGCATATGATTTTCTCCCATGCCCACTTTTATCATCACTTGCTTCTCTATTTTGTAGGTTTTTTGAAGAAATTTCCTGTAAGTATGAAACTAAGTTAGAAATTAGAACTTTAATTGTATAATAAAAAGGAAATATACTCATACTAAACCTTGAACTTCGTAGAATTGAATCTCTCACAACACTTCTGCCATTGCTCATCACTTCGTACATTTATAGGTCTCTTAGCTTGCATTCATCCTTTGTTCTTGAAATACACAGATAAATCACTTTTCCAATCGTTGTAGGACTCTCGAGCATCTCGAATCAATACTTCATCAAAAAGCTTGTCATTATCGCACTCAAACCAGTCCTACAATATGTAAAACATGATCACTATTAGAAATAAATAAATTTAAATCAATAAACCAAACATGATCACTATTAGAAATAAATAAATTTAAATCAATAAACCCAACAAGAAAAGAAGACAAGTTTTTTATAACTACCAACATCCTATGTCGAATCATAGCTTTTTGACAGGCCGGAACATCGTCCCACTTATCGTAGAACGGATCACAACAGTCCCGAGTGTGTATTCCTATTGCGCTTGACCACCAAGAAGCTTTTGGCCCAACTGCCTTCCATGTTTTCCTTGCCGAATCAAATTGAACTTTGATCTTTCCATCTTTAGCTACGGCTAACATAATGTTGTTTCCCTTGGCTGGACCTCTCCCTTTCCGTTTTGGTTTCTGAGTTTCTGAAGCTATAAGATTCAGTAAACAAAATATAAGTTAGTATTGATCATTAATAATTTATATTTTGAAAAGTGTTAACAATTTTAATTGCATTACATCATACCTGACTCACACGAAGATGGCACTCTATGGGGATCTCGTGGAGGTTGGGATCCTCCACTTGAACCCGCACATGTAGCTATTGTTCCTGCCATAAAGTACACCTATATATGTGCATACATGTGTAGGGATAATTTAAATGTAAATTAAACATCACCGGAAACCAATAACCATCAAAATATATGTAAAAACATTAAGTCATTTAGTCACGTGCAAAAACATCTAAAGAAATAAAGTGCATACAAATGATCCAAGCATAATTAACAATAAAAAAGCCTCGTATTTAATCATCGTCACTGCTAATATATTTGAGGCTCTCATCATCATCATCATCAACATCATCATCAGCATTGCCATCATCATCATCATCATCATCATCGTATTCATTACCACTACCATAACTTAAAAACTCACTTTCACCATCTTCATCATACTCATCTTCTTCGTTGATAGTAAAACCACCTTGAAGATTCTCATATAGAGTAATCACATCAGATGAAGCGACATTTGGTGAAACATTTGTGTCATTCCATAACATAGAGTCTAAGTTTGGTACTTCAACATCCAATTCAATACCTGAAGACTCAACATCTTGGACAATACACATATTATCTTCTTGATCCGGGGGAAGGTCCCAAATATGTCTATGCCCAAAATGTTCAACAACTCTCCATTGTGGGCCATTGTAAAGGTCCTCAACATAAAACACTTGCTCTGCTTGAGATGCAAGAATAAAAGGCTCATTTTCATACCAAAAATCCTTGATGCATATGCTCATCTTATTCTTGTACTCTTTCGTTCCCCTTCTTTTCCCTCGCCGGTCTAAGCTTGTGTTGTACCACTTACATTTGAAGAGAACAACAGAATTGTTACCTCCGTAACTCAATTCATAAATGTCCTCTAATTGTCCATAAAACACTTCATCATCTGACCCCTTTACAGAAATTCCACTATTTTGAGTTGATCGGTTCATATCCCGACGGTGAGTCAAAAACTTTACTCCATTAACTATACATCCAGGATAACTTTTGAACGTTGGACTAGAACGAAAAGCAAGCGAAACCAATTGTTTGTTCAATTCTGGCGTTGAACACTCTTGGAGGGAAAAGATCTAAACAGATAAACATTTATTAGTTATGAATGAAATTGCACCAAGAAAAGTGATATTACTGAAACTATGGATATACCTTCCTTTGAAACCATTCTGGAAACTCCTTGAGTTGAATTTCATCCAAAGAACAGATGGTGTTTCGCGAACTAATCACCTCTTTGTGCTCACTGTTCATCATGTAATTATAATGTGAATAAAGAAACAACATATATTGAGTATGCAGGTATAAATACTTTTAATCACTTACTCAATATAATGTTGGACTTCTGGGCAATTCTGCAAAATGTACCACTCTGCTCTATTTCGCATAGCATAGTCCAGAGTTATTAGAGACATTTTTCCGATAGGACGGGTTCGAGATTGAAAGATAGATAAACTTCCTGTAGTGCTAACATCACTTTCAACCCAATTCCTCTCTAATCTGTTGAATCTCGTCTCAATGTCACTCAAATACATTGAGCAAAACGACAATGCTTCATTTGCAATGTATGCTTCAGCAATGGACCCTTCTGGACGTGCACGGTTTCTAACATACTTCTTCAAAGAACCAAGAAACCGTTCAATTGCATACATCCACCTTAAATGAACCGGCCCTCCTCGAATTGCTTCCTCCGGTAAGTGCATGGTGACATGAACCATGATATCAAAGAAAGCTGGGGGAAAGATCGTCTCCAGTTTGCATAATATAACAATGATGTCTTTCTGAGCTTGTTTCAGATCACTTACTCTCACTTTCCTTGAACATATCAACTTAAAGAAATTGCATAGCTCGGTGATCGCATCAACTATCTCTTTCTTAAGGAATGGTCGAATGCCGGTAGGCAACAATCGTTGCATAATAACATGACAGTCATGAGACTTAAGACCTGAAATCTTGCTAGTCCCTCCTATCACATTCTTCCCCAAGTTGGAAGCAAAACCGTCTGGAAATCGTACATGTTTTAAGAATTCACAGAACTTTGTGCAATCGTCAGGACTCAATGTGTATGCTGCATGTGGTTTCATTAATTGCTCACCATCTTTATACAAATGAAACTCTTCTCGAACTCCCCAATGGGCCAAATCAATTCTTGCTTTGTCCGTGTCCTTAGTTTTTCGGTCAATGCTCAGGACCGTACCAAGTAAGCTTTCACATACATTTTTCTCTATATGCATCACATCTAAATTGTGACGCAATGACAAAGAAGACCAATAAGGCAATTCCCAGAAGACACTTTTCTTGGTCCAATTTAACTCACGTGGTTTTCGTTTGCGTTTAAGCTTCTTCCCACCAAAATCTGGATGCTTACCAGGAACACGAGGACACACATTTTGTAACTGATCTAATATCTCTCGCGTGGACTTCTGTTTTGGAGGAGTGCTTTTGTCAACCTGGCCATTAAACTTTTTATTCTTCCTCAATATGTGGTCAGTCGGTAGCCATGATCGATGCCCAACATAACATGTTTTACTTGTGATACGCATGGAAGGGGTATCAACATTGCATGAAGAACAAGCATAATAGCCTTGACCACTCCAACCGGATAGACTACTGCGAGCAGGAAAGTCACTAATAGTCATGAGTAGAGCAACCCGCATTTGAAATCGCGTGTTTGTATCTCCATCATGTACAACCATCCCTTCTGACCACAACTCCTTTAATTCATCAATGAGAGGTCTCAAGAACACATCAATATCCTTTCCAGGAGAAGATGGACCTGGAATTAATAATGTTAAAAGCTTATAAGGATCTTTAGTACATAACCATGGAGGTAGATTGTATACCACCACAACAACTGGCCACATACTATATGATAAACTCATGTTTCCAAATGGATTGAATCCATCTGCAGATAACCCCAATCGAACATTTCGTGGTTCACTAGCAAAGTCGGGGTAGTTCTCATCAAACTCTTTCCATTCTTTGCCATCTACTGGATGTTGCATCATGTCTGGAACAGTTGATTTACCCCTTTGATGCCATGTCATTTCTTTGGAGGTGTGTCGTGAAACAAATAATCGTCTCAATCTATCCTTCAATGGAAAATAGCGGAGAACTTTCCATGGAACTTTTTTCCCCCTTTCATTTTTCCACCGGCTCGTGTTGCAAATTGGACATGTTTGCAAATCAGCATTACTCTTCCAGAACAAAGCACAATCATACTTACACACATGAATCTTTTCGTAGCCAAGTCCCAATTTGCTCAACTTTTTCTTTGACTCGTAATGAGAAGTTGGTAACTTATTACCATCAGGGAGTACATCTTTTAGCAACTTTAGCACTGAATCCATGCACTCATTTGGCCACTTATAGAGTACTTTCAAGTGCATAAGTTTTACTAAAAAATTTAGCGAAGAAACCTTAGTGCACCCTGGATACAACTCTGCATGAAGCTCAGATAATAGATCCTCAAATTGTGTTGACATTTCATCACCCGTATTATATGTGGTATCACCTCTTAGGCCATGGTCACGAGTTTCTCCTGCAATGTCATTCATTACTGCAGCCATTTCATCCTCTGCCTCATCTTCTACATTTAAATTTAGAAATGGTGGTATCTCAGGTGGCTCACCATGAAAAACCCAATGTGAATATGTCACATCAAACCCAGATTCAAAGATATGTCGCTTAACGTCTTTCAATGGAAGCATTTTTCCATTCAAACATCTTTTACAAGGACAACTTATATTTCCTTCTTCATTCACAAAGTCCTTTGCATAGTCTATAAAACCTTGTAAACCCTTCCAATACTCATTTGATAATCGATTCTTTATATATATCCAACTCTTATCTATCGGCATCCTCACCTAAAAGAGAACAACTTCAACACTCTATCAATATATTTATCAAATAAGGATTAGTGAATGAGTTAAGTTCATAAAAGGAAATGAAAACACTTGTTATTTAAATAACAAGTTATTTAAATAACTTTTAAAAGTTATTTAAAAGTTAGAATTCATATAAGACTTATTTTATTCATAAGTGGTTTTTGCATATTTATTTGCAAAACAATTAAGACTTTTAGTTCCAAAGTCTCTACCATTAACCCATTTGGGGCTTAATTGAAACAAGCAATTAAAATTTATTCAGTTTCTTTATGTTTTACAATGTACTGGTTGGGGCTTAATTTATTCAAATCGTCACTTGACATTAAAATTTCATACTCCATAGTATGAAATAGAAGTGTGATGTAGTAATACAGTTTGTTTCTATAGACAAATCCGTTTTAGTAATGAAGTAAACCTTTTAATCAAAAATAAAAAATACTATACCCTTTGTATTTTTTTAAACAGAATCATTTCCTATGATCTAAACAAAGTCTGGGAATACAAAAGGCAGAGAGAAAACTACTTTGACTAGTGTGTGACTCAATTGGAAGGTATAGCTAGTGTCAGTACCAAACCAAACACTACAACTCAAAAGATGAACAATACAAATATCAACAATAACAACGATAAAAGCTGCCAAAATAACTATCAGAATTACCACACTTGCCATTAACAGTAAAAAGAATTTGACTGTAACAAAATGGGTTAATCTCCTCTGTGTGACACCCTAAGGAAAAGAGTTGTATGAAATAGGGAAATGAGTACACTGCTCTAATTAGGGGTTCGTGATGGTCACTTCCAGCTCCACACCATCCTGTTCCTTTCATTAAAAGAAAGACTTGAAATTAAAGTCTTCATAAGTTCATTAAGTTAAAATTTCAGCCCGTTAAAAAGTTAAAATAGTCTTCAAAATTAGTTAATTTGAATAAGCACTAAATTTCTGAAGTCTTCATAAGTTCAAAAAGTTAACTTATTCATTTTTTTCTTTTTTCTTTTTGTGAAGAAAAGTGGGAAAATGAAAACATGGTAGGTTGGGTCCAAAGTCTTCATAAAATAGTAACCAGACTTCTTTTTTTTTTACAATAAACATCACAAAATTAGCACAACCAATGTCAACTACGGAGTACATTTTAATTCTTCAAAAAAGTCAGCAAAGAAACTTTCAAAACCTGGAAAAAGAAGATCAAACACAACTCTTCAAGTCCATGCTCTGTGGAAGAAGACTCAAGATTGTTCAATTTCAGCACACGCAGGACCGTCTCTCTCCCTTTTGTATCTTAGGAACCTGCTAAGAAGAGTTGTGTTGACAATGATCACAAGAAGTGAATCACGTATGACAATATGTGTATGTATACATATACATATATATACTCTGTAAGTACTAAGTAGTTCTTCATTTTCAACTTACTTTTTTTCATTTGCAATTATCTAATACTCCACTTGACAGTAGGTGCAACTTATGTTTTAAAAAAATCCATTATCTATTTTAAATGAGTGTAGAGTGCATGTTGTTTACTGCCTGATGTTTTTTACTTTGAATGGGTTTTATATTTCAGATGTCAAAACAGACAAAACAGAAAATTATAACAATATAAGCTTCTGTATTTTAGTTTGCTGGTACTCGGTGATGAGGTGTTATTAGTGGGAGTAATGACATTTTTTTTAATGCTGAAGTAATGGAATGAACTCTTAGTTTGAGATCCCAGAGTGTATTTTACTAAACAAAGATAACACTATAATAACAAACAAATTTAAATGAAAAACACATTAATAGCAAAGATAACAACACAATCGATTACATTTTTCCGCAGAATAAAGGCAAAGAACTAACCTTACTAAACAACTTTGAGATTTTGACAGTAAGATGAAGTTTTAGGACAACTTGAAATTCGAAATTTAAGAAATGAATTAAACTTAACAGATAAATAATCAATAGTTAATAGAAAATCTCAAAGTTTTTTAGCAGCTTAGGGGTGAAGTAATAAGATAAACAAAAAACTGAAGTTGAAATCAGAAAAACCAACCTGAAGACAGCGAGTGCAAGTACTAGTCAGACGAAGAAGACGAAGTCGAGTGCGAAAATAGCTCACCCAGAAGAAACTTCTGAGAAGACTTCCGCCGAGAAGACTGACCGACACGCTCAGCCCTAACTCACTTAGAAGACTTCCGCCGCTCAGCCATCGTTTGGAAATATCATATGCCCTAACTCACTTGGAAAGTGAGCTGCTGCTCTTTAATTTTTTTTTTCAGCATTAGCGTCGACATATAGACGCTAATAAGTAACGCCATGTTGGCCCATTTTCACATTTCGTTTTTTGCGTGGACTGCCAGCGACGCAAATACAATTAAACTCTTTTCGCGTCCACGTGTCGACGCAAATAATAAAATTTTATAAGGTTTTGGCCGGAAATTAAACAACATCATTTGCGTCCACGCGTCGACGCAAAAGAGTAGTTATTTGTGTCCACTTTTGTCGACGCAAAAACGTTGGACGCAAATGATGCTATTTCTTGTAGTGCCAGTTGGGCATTTGACCAATGGGCACTGTCACTTTTTTTCAATTGTTAGTGATTGAAGGGTTTATTTGCCAGTTTAGTGTTTGTGGATCTATTTATAAAAGAGAATTGGGAGAAGAATAGAAGATTGGACCATACTCATTTTCTTTAATTCTTTCAATTATCTAAAAACCAAAGATTAAGATATTTAAACTTTCAAAAAAAGATTAAGATATTAAAAAATATGTATTTAAACCATTTAAAGTTGTGTAATATTAAAATTCTCTCTCCTTTGAACCATTGAAAATGAAATCAAACGCGAGTAATTAACTTTCATTTACCCATTTTTTAACATTTTCCAAGATCTGACTTCCAAACACTTATTCAGTTTGTTAATGAACAAAAAGTATGTAATTGAATAATTTTTAATTTAAAATTTCTTGGAGAATTCTGATGACTATGGTGATGAGGATATGAGGAATAACAGATGATATTCTATTTGATAGAACCGAAGTATTTTGGAATTATGTGAATCACCTCCTGATTCACAACCTGATACCATGAATGATAAATACGGAGTAGAACATTTTGAAGTAGCGATTCATTTTTATCAAGTGCTACCCAAAGGTTTCTTAGTTTAATAAGTTTTGTTATCTATATCAAATATTTAGAGCAGGTTGATTTTTATTGATCTCTTTTCACGATTCTTGTGCATATATACAATTCTTATGCATATATAGAAGATTATAAAAAGGATTACCAATAAAATTGCTAATTTATGAAGGAAGTACAATTGCTAATGAAAAGAACAAAAACAATTTAATCTTATTACAAAGAAACTACTACCTCCGTTCTTTAATATTGTCCCCTTAGGGTTTGGCACGGGATTTAATAATAAAGTAGTAGGGTAAGTATAGAGTGTGTAAGGTAAATGATAAAGTAGGAAAGATGGTATATTAAAAAGAGTAAAATGATGATAAAGTAGGAAAGAGAGTGTATTAAGAAGAGTAAAGTGATGGTAAAGTAGGAAAGAGAAAGTAGTTTGTAAAAAGTAAGTGGGGTAAAAGTAATAAAAATGGGGGTATTTTCTCAAAAACTTTCCTTAAAGGGAAAGGAGACAAACAAAAAAAAACGTCCCAAAAAGGAAAGAAGGACTAATAAAAAAGAACGGAGGGAGTAATGAAATTGCTAATTAAAAGGAACTAAAAAGAATCATACAATCTCATGAAATCATAATAAAGTAAAATTAAAATCAGATCATGATAACGGTCTTTGGTATAGATATTTTAAGTTTCTCCAAAATTGCCAAGATTTTGTGATTATCTATTCTGCAAAATTGATAGTTATGTGTTTTTGGTATACTTTTATTTTGTATAATATGGTTTTGACTTTGGGCTTTAATTTTTTTCCGGTGGTTCGATTGGCAGTGAGCCAGTGACATAACATTTCTTATGATTAGAACTAAAATTCCTTAAAAAGTGATATGAGGAATATGTACAATTTTATATCTTGGATATAATGTAACTATATACTACTATAAAATTTAAAAACCTAATAAAAATCAATCATATTCACAAAAAAATAAAACTTAAATTAACCTACCAAAATGAATTTTAACATTACTAAAAGACTAGAATTCTATCATATAAAAAGCTTATATAAATGGATGATCACATTATTTCGTAAAATGGGGGTTGGAAATTTTTTACGAGAGAAGTTGGAGATGAGCCAAACAAAGGATTAGAGGATCCAAAACTAGAGGTGGAGGAAAGGAAAATAGTCACATCTCTTAAACGCACCAAACCTAAGCAATATTCTCAAAATCCATGTATGTGTATATTTAATGATAAAATGAGCATTTGGCATATATTTATATTAGCAAATCGTTAAATGAGTTGGACTTGGGGTGAGTCAACATAAAACCTGTAGAATGATTGAAACAGTATATGATCATTAATAGGCTAATTATAAAGTCTGGGAAGTGGCAGATCAGACCCAGGTAATTATATCCATAAGTGAATAAGCACTAATTTCATTAATGGTTAGCTATGCAATGATCATTAATAGATTTTTTTTACTCCAGGGGGGTCTGGGGGAGGGGGCCTGAGGGGGGTTGGAGTAATCAGGGCTGAAACTCACTCCATTGAGTTTCAAACCCTTATGTGCCTCGCGAGTTTCGAACTCGAGACCTCTCACTAGGCACGGTAACCTCACAATCAGCTGAGCTGGAATGCTTGGTTGATCATTAATAGAATAAGTGAGGATCAATCGTTGGAAAAGCTCAGCATCGTCCTCAGTGGCCCCGACCCTTTTTATGAATGCACACATGTACATGACCAATTGAGTTGAGTGTTGCATACAAAGAAGTTTATAATAATTTATAGTTTCCCTTGAAAGTTTCTTCTATTTATTTATTGATTTGCTATTATAGTAACATCTTACTTCGAATTTTATTTAATATTTTAAGTTAACCAGTTCACTATCAATTTATTTTATTTCCATATAAACTATTCCGTATTATATAGGTATTTCACTCCCGTGCAACGCACGGGTGAAGTAACTAGTAATTTGATTATGTAAAGAACGGGGATTCGGGGAAGTCTCATTCGCCATTCGCCAAAGCATCAGTTTTGCAAAAATCGGACTCAAATCCGGGAGAACGTCTTACCGCACGTTCAAATTTAATGGGGGGCGTTCAGTGTAAAAATTGCATTAAACTTGGTAGTTCTAGGTGAGTGTTTCACTGTTTTTGTTTTGTTCAAACTTCAAAGAGCGTTTCACTGTTCTAACGCATGATAAATTGATAATCAAATTAAAAAACAGAAAATTGTCCAAACTAAAAGTAAAACGTATTCTCTTCGTCTCAAATTGTTTTCAAAGTTAACATTTAATGATCAACCAATAATAAAAATCAATCATCTAGCTCTATCGATAATTAATTCAATTTTTAATAATTAAAATTTACATATTCAGAAACTACATTAAAAATCACTTCAAAGTTGCAAACTTCAAATTAGAATATAATTAAAAGTTGACATCTTAATTAAGCGAACAAAACGAAATTGTTTGACCAAGAAAAGTCAAATTTGTCAATTAATTTGGAACGAAGGTAGTAGTCTTTTTTCAAAAATAGAACAATATGTTTGGTTCTCTTTTAAGTAGAATTAATCGTCTAGTTTCTATCCATAATTAATTAACCTAATTATCCCATAGCTCCCTTGCATAACCAAATTAAATCACTCCTTTGGTGGCGACAAGAGACTTCGGCAGCGGCGATCTCCTGCAACGGCGGCTATGGCGGAATTTACGGCAGGTTGTTGGAGTAGTTTTGGATTTTTTCCCCTGGCGGTATTCGGTCTTGTGGCAGTCCATCGACTTGGGCAGCAGAGGGCGACACTTCCAATCGTATTTTCTATTTACAAATAAGAAAACCTATATAAGGATATTTAAATCATTTAGTCCTGTTTTTAGAAAATGAATGAGTTTTAGGATGTTTTCTTTTGGACTGTTTTCAGTCCCAGACCAGACCAGACTTAAACAGACCAGACCAGACTAGACCAGACTTAAACAGACCAGACCAGACCAGACCAGACTTAAACAGACCAGACCAAACCAGACCTGAATTTCTTAGCTATAAAATACACAGAGACCAGACGTTTACCAGACCAGACCAGACCAGTTCAGACCAGACCAAACTTAAACAGACCAGACCGGACCAGACCAGACCAGACCAGCAAATTTCAGTCCAAAAGAAAACATCCTTAGTCCTAAAGGTAAATTATTTGGTCGTATTTTAAAGTAAAACATGTCAAATTCTAAAATATAAATAGTACTACCAAGTATTTGTTCTATTAGATAGAAGTGAAGTATTATGGTTCTGATGTCATAATTCCATATTTTAACATCGGAAAATTCTTAAGGCACACCTTGGGTTACACCATGGGGTACACCCCATTTATTTGCCCTTCACACAAACAAAAAACATAAAAACACAGACACTTTCGATTAAACTGTCGGTGTGAGTTTGCAGATCTGTTTAGGTGAAAACATTCTTAGTAGGTGTGGGCACGGTCCGGTCCGGTCCAATATTTGGCCGAACCTGTACCTGTACCGTTACTATTGAAACAGTTCGGTACGATTCGGTCTTAGACCCAAACCCGTTCGGTACAGTCCATTTTCAAATGGGACGATACCATGCCATACCAAACAATGCCACTTTTTCCAAGTGTTTAAGAAAAAATTAAAGTTTAGCCATCCTCCAAAAATCTACACAATTTATCAATTTTCATATATCATACTACCTTCGTTCCAAATTGATTTGCAAAGTCAATTTTTTTTGGTCAAACAATTTCTTTTTATTCACTTAATTAGAATTTCACTTTTTAATTATATTCTAATTTGGCCTTTCAAATAAACTACTCCGTACTTCGTATATTTTAATTTGGATTTTGCAGCTTTAGAGAGATTTTAATGTGGTTTCTAAATATGTAAATTTTAATTATTAAAAATTGTATTAATTATCAAGAACTTAACATTAACTTTGACAAAAAAAAATGTTGGCTTTGCAAATCAATTTGGGACGGATGAGGTAAATAATATATTTTAGATAAACTATAGTAGTACAAATTTAATAAATCATACCTCGGTCCGGTTCGATCCGGTACCGGTTCTCATTTTATGAGAACCGGTCATGGCATTGTTTGGAAC